AAATTAACCATAAACCAACTGGCTGAGCTCGAGGGGGAGTGGGTTTTTTGGCGAGAGCGGATCATCCCGGCCGAGAACAACTCTCCGCAACCTCTTTCAGAGCGGGATTTAAAACCAGACCCCTCCGCCTGTACAGCGCGGCAGGGATACCACGCTGCTTTGAGGGGAATTTAGCTCTTTTTAGGACAGACGCGTCGTTTTTGCTCATTCTCTGCATTTTAAGGTTTTCTCGTGAAAACGCAAGGCCAGGCTTTTCAGAGTGACCGCTACATCCAGCTAAAGGTTATTAATCACACATTGAACGCTTCAGCAGAAGTTTACTGCCTCGCCACCGACTTGCTCGGAGGAAACGTATCCTACCCCAGCATCGCACCTGCACGCTCCGCACCGGAGAAAATCATTCGGTGAGATCTCTATTCCTTCACCAAAACACTGATTATTCCAGAATAATCCCAAAGGAACTAAGCCCTCCTCCGGCCCGCCAGCGTGGCCGCCTTCCATTTTATTCCAAGTGGAAACCAGGGGAAAGACATCAATCAAGAAATAAAAGGAGCACCGCTTTGAAGGCAGCGGGGCCGCGCTGCCTCATTCAAACTGCGCGGACTAGGGCAGAAGTCCTTCAAATTTATCAGCTTTTTATATTTTCTATATAGTTTGGGTTTGGGGCTTGTTTTTTTCATTATGGTAACAAATATGTTGTATCAATTTATAAGAGGCTTGGAGAGAGACCCCTTTAGCCCGCTCCTGGCTGTAACTGGGGCAAATCCTCCTCCTGACATCCCTAAAACCCGTGTTTTTAAGCGATGTTTATCCTAAGGGAAACTTTCGAGCGCTATTTGGTCACAACCCAAAGATTTCTCGGGGAACGGGCTCGACTCAGCTGCTAATTCTGAACGTCCTCTCTGCTCCCAGGTTAGCTCCTTCCCGCTCCTCCTATCCGAATCCTTCAGTGAAATCCTAACGCTGAGCGCTGACGTCCTCGCTGCCACAGCACGGCTGATGCCACAGCAACGGGATACGTCCCGGGCCCTGGAAAAAAAAAAAGCTGCTGGGGTCTAGGATTTGCTTTAGCCCTTCCTTTAACCCGGTACAACAAAGCCTCGCTCGACCCAAGGAGCCTCAGCCGAACAATTACGCTCTTAGGAAAAAAAGCCCTAAAAAAAAAAAAAAAAAAAACACCGTCCCCGGCGAAAAAAAAAAAAAAAAAAAAAAAAGATTCCTGGCGGGTGCTTTGCTGCGCTATCAGAAGTTGCTCCCGTTTTCCAGGGAGCGACTCACGGTACCGATGTTAAATGCTTGCCTGCGTGTTTGCACGATTAAAAAGGTAATCTCTAGCAAATCGTGAGCGCTAGGAGGAGGTTAAGCCCGATTAAAAATGGGTCAGGGGAAGCAAGGCACGAGGAAAAGCCCCAAACAAGAAGCTGGACTCCTACTGCTAATATTTAACTCTCTCTATATATAAAAAAAAAAAATACTACTCGCTTTATGGAACCAGTCAACAACTCCTGTAAACTTGGCAGTACAATCCCTGAAAACTCCTGACATTCGAACAATTCCTGGTTCTTCCGCCCCTCAACAGGGAGAAAATGAACCTAAACTTTTCCGGCAGCTTATTTTCCTTCTTTTCTACCGCATCTGTCCTTTCCAACTCATCTTGGTATGGATTAAAAAATTTGCTTATGCCATTAGCAGCGGAGAATCAAAAACCAGTTGGGATTTTTCCGGGATCAAGAGTGGAAATATAAAGCTTAACATGTACGTACATTTAGATGAAGAACAGAACAAAGTTACTAATTGAATATATTAGGGGGGGAAATCGATGCTATGAGGTCGCACTCTCTCTGAACTAGAGACATTTCGGCCAGACCGGTAACGTTGTCAAGTTCTGATGGTGAACCTTTGATCGAAGGGGGGGGGGGGGGCAGAAAAAAAAAACAAAAAA